CAGAAAGTGGGAGCTATGGCACGCTCGTATGGGACACTTGAACGATCGCTATGGCGAAGACCCGCGAGGCGACGGACGGAATCCTGACGACTCAACAGCAGACGAAGACCCTGTGCGGAGGATGCATGAAGGGCAAGCAGACGGTCGCACATTTCCCGTCGCGGTCGACGTCGGCGACGACTCGACCGCTGGAACTGGTTCATACGGACGTGATGGGTCCTATGAAGACGAAGTCCAAGGGCGGAGCGAGGTATGTGCTCGCCTTTGTCGACGACTACTCGCGACACGTCGTGGTGTACTTCTTGACCAAGAAGAGCGAGGTCGTGGCCAAGTTCAAGTCGTTCATGAAGCTGTACGAGAACCAGTGGGGGCAGCGCATTAAATGCCTGCGCTCGGACAACGGCACTGAGTTCGTGAACACGCCGATGACTGAGATCTGCCGGGTGAATGGGATTATGCATCAGAAGACGGTCCCGTATAGCCCCCAGCAGAATGGCGTGGCGGAGCGGATGAACCGCACGATCATGGAGAAGACTCGAAGCATGCTACACTACAAGGGCGTGGCTTCGATATGGTGGGCAGAGGCGGTCAGCACTGCTGTCTACCTGATCAACCGGTCGACGAACAGCATGCACCCGACCAAGACTCCGTACGAGTTGACGTTCAAGTCGAAGCCTCGGCTGGACCATCTTTGAGTCTTCGGGTCGATTGGTTACGCCCATGTCGACAAGTCGCGACGCACCAAGTTGGAGCCGAAGAGCTTCAAATGTATGTTTCTTGGGTACGCCGACGACTCAAAAAGCTACCGAGTGTACGACTTGGAGTCGAACAAGGTGAAGGTGTCCAGGTCGGTGAAGCTGGACGGGCGCGAGGTGAACGGCATCTACGACACGTCGCCCAGCGAGAACTTGCCGATCATTCAGTCGACGGAAGATGTCGACGATGAAGTGGCGCTGCACGAGGAGATGCAACGACCTGCCGCCGACGAGCCGATGGAATCTGTGGAAGAGACCGTCGAGGACGCGGAAATGCATGAGGCGGAGACGCCGGAGCCATCCATGCAGGAGCTGACCACGTACCGACGACTCGCGAGACCGGTATTTAATGATGACATGGTCTTCCATCCGGAGCCGGAACGGACCCAGCGTGCCCGAGAACCGGTACTACTACTTGGAGATAGTTCCGCAGACGGTGAGGAGTCGAAAGAAGATGGTCCCGATGACTCGGACAACGATGATCACTTCTGGCCACCGTCTCCGAAGCGGCCCAGGGTGGACGAAAACAGCCTATTGGCTGAGGCGGTGCTGGCCTACGACGCAGACGTCGGCGATGCCAATGATGCACCCACCACGTATCAGCAGGCCATACAGAGTGACGAGTCGTCGGAGTGAGTGAAGGCAATGAACGCGGAGCTCAAGGCACACGCGGACAACGGATCATGGACGCTGGTCCGTCGGACACCGAGTGCTCGACCGATCGGTTGTCGCTGGGTGTTCACAAAGAAACGCGACGAGCACGGTCGAGTCATCAGGTATAAGGCCCGCCTGGTGGCGAAAGGGTTTAAGCAGAAGTTTGGCGTGGACTTCTTCGAGACGTACTCGCCCGTGGCCAACATGAACTCGATCCGAGTGGTGTTGTCGGTTGTGGTGGCCGAGGCGTACATCACCGAGCAGCTGGATGCGGACACCGCCTTTCTCAACAGCGGGCTGGTGGAGCGCGTCTACATGGAGGTGCCCTACGGAATCATCAACGCGAAGAATATGATGTGTCGGCTGCAGAAGGCGATCTATGGTCTGAAGCAGGCGGCAAATGCCTGGCATAAGACCATCCACCGAGTCTTCGTGGGCATCGGATTTCGGAGCTGCGGTGGCGACCAGTGCGTATACGTCAAGGGCGAGAAGGGCAGGTTCGTATATGTCTGCCTGTACGTGGACGACATGATCATCGCGCCCAAGACGAGCAACGAGATCCAGGAAGTCAACGTGGCGCTCAAGAATGCTTTTAAGATGAAGGAGTTGGGCGAAGCCAAGTTTATACTTGGTATGGAGATCGACCATGACTCATCGGCGAAGACTCTCATGATCAAGCAGACTCGATACATTGATGATGTGGTGACGCGGTTCAACCAGCAGGACGCCAAGGTGGTGGTGAACCCGTGCGAGTCGGGCATGAAGTTATCGAAGACTCAGTCGCCGACGACTCAGAAGGAACGCGAGGAAATGCAGGCGAAGCCCTACCGATCACTCATTGGCTGTTTGTTGTACATTACAACTTGCACCAGACCTGATGTGGCGTACATCGTGACCCAGTTGTCGCGCTTCCTTGAGAACCCCGGGCAGCAGCACTGGAAGGCTGCCATCCGCGTGCTCAGGTACCTGAAGAGCACCCAAGACATCGGCATCGCCTACAATGGGAACGCGAAGAAGGTCGAGGTGGCGGCGTACACCGACGCCGACAGGGGCAGCAATCTCGACGACCGACGCTCGGTGTCGGGCATCATGGTGATGATTAGCGGGGCGCCGGTGGTCTTCAAATCGAAGTACCAGCGCACGGTGGCGCTCAGCTCGGCGGAGGCTGAGTACATGGCGTTGAGCCTGTGCACGCAGGAGGCGCTGTGGACCCGCGCCATGCTCAAGGACATGGGTCACAAGCAAGTGGGAGCTACCCAAGTATGGGAGGACAACCAGGGCGCGATCGCCCTCGCAAGCAACGCTGGGTACAACGCGAGGACCAAGCACGTGGACATCAAGCATCACTTCATCCGCGAGAGTGTGTCCCGAGGACTCATCGTCGTCAACTACGTGCCGACGGAGGACCAGCTCGCGGACATGCTTACCAAGGCGTTGGGGACGAAGAGGCTCAAGTACCTGATCAGCGCAAGCGGAATCGTCGGGACGGTCGTGCAGCATTAGCGGCGAGTGGGAGTGTTCATGAGTCTTCGGAAGCACCGCCAATAGATGCACATGGACGAGGAGAACGTGTGGACACATCCGCCGATGACTCGGAGGATCCGACGGCGACGGGAGAGCCGGCGGCAGCCGGGCTCTGGATATACCAATGGCTGGTCAGGGAGACCCAAGAATACTGAGATCAAGTCAATCGGAACACGGGAGTAATCCGTCTGATGAGAGGCACCAACGAGCACAAGGAGAACAAGAAGGCAAGCAGGAGGGGAAGACTAGAGAGTAGTTTGAGAGACGATAACATTTAATCTCACTTCAGAATTTGCCCCATCAATCACAAGCTACAAACCAACATGCTGGTTTCCGCTGTGTAAAAGTTGTTGTGGAGCGTGACATCCTACACTACCACCGGTAATATAGAAGGACGAACATTAAATGCAGTAAAGTATCGTGGCTCGTTGCTTTATGTTTAATGTTTGCCTAAAGAGCAACATAAAACGATGTTACAACACTCATAGGGTAGACGCAACAGCCAAATAGTTTCAACCTGATATTGTGAAATGATTGCCACTCAAAATCTCTTATGAGTACCATGTAGTTCGAACGATGCTGACCTACCCGGGCGTCATCACTTACTTGGACAACAACAGTAACGAGGGTGCGCGATGTGGTAATTTTGAGCGGTAAACAAGGTTGTTAAAGCTAAAATCATGCTCAAGGAATTACCCGAGCATGGTATCCAGCAATTTAGGCGAAGGTGTTCGAGTCGACAAGAGCATTCAGGTATGTAGAGTTCACCTGTCCTCATCGTGAGGAAAAGTTCAAGTATAAATGCAGCGCTGTGAGGTTGAAAGTGTAGTGACACTTTAGAAATGTTGGTTGAACTATCGGTACATAAGTTTTCCACAAATGTTGCAATGGACTACTCTTGTTAAAATGAACAATTAAACATATTCTATGGCTTTGTAATATACTGCCTTGTTTAGTTTATGACCAACGTTTTGGATTTTATATTTTCCGTGCTGAACTAATGCATGGTATCTAAAGCCTGCGGGAATGACACCAATACTAATGCATGCACTGGCATACTCGCGGTAGGCTTTCATGCATGCTTGAAGTTGACGTTGAATGGTAGCGCAGGTCGAGTGAGGGGTTGCGACCATGATTGAAGTTGACGTTGCATGTCACTATTGTAGAGATTCAACGTCATTCTAGCGGGTTTTTTTTTTTATAGACGCGTGACGCCCCCTCAAAACACAGTTCTTACGAACTGCGAACTACAACTAGATAGTTGTGCTTTCTCAATATCTTGATTTTTTATTGGGCTATCCTGGGATGGGGTGGCCGCCTTTGCACAGGCCTCGCTCCTCGCAAAAGGCCCCCAGAATAATGGCATTTGACCGCGTTGTAGGCACCCTTAGCGAACATGGAGACCACCTGCTAGTGCGTAAGGATCTCTACTTTAAGGGAGACACGGAAGTGCCGGCTGGTAAGGTGCCATGGCGGAGCTACAGCGCTACAAGTCTCGGCACTCCTTGATGGGATTTGGGCATGTTTTGACCGACCTCTGCCCTTTCTTTGCTTGCTCCGACTGAGAAAGCCACACTCCAATGAGAAGGTGCTATTTTATTGTATTGTATTGTAAACGTTAGTGCGCCTTACGCTTTAGGGAAGAAGTGATCTACACTCTCCAAGCGTGGTCCGCACCACTAACCCCAATAGTGGGCGGCCACTAATTGAGCTCCTACTGTCTTCTCCGGCACGATCAGCATACGTCGGTACTCGTAGGCCTTTCAATGTTAGCTGTTATCTGACTTGCCAACAACAGTCGTTATCTGGCTGGTAGCGAAGCGATAGCGACAGATAACGACAAATCGCCTGTGATTGGTGATAAATTCGTTTTTTTCATTGGCTAAGATCATACAAATATCTGCTGCTGATTGGATATAAAGGTTGGTGTCGATAGTAGACTCTACGGCGAAGAGCTGCGCAAAGTGGCCAAGGCCGTATCGGCGGCCGATATCAGTACGGCGCTGCTCAAGCTATTGGACTAGGATGTTTTCCTCTTGACGGGCGTCTTCTCCGCGTGCGTGGCGCAGCTCGTGTCCTACCAGGGCGGGGGTGACCAGAATTGGCATGCTGCGGACGCTATGTAGCTACTAAGTACCTCGCCATGATCAATGTGAGTCTCGTGCCCACCGTGAACGCCGCTGCCGCTGCAAAGAATACGACGGAGAAGCAGCAGCAGCAGCAGCAGCAGCAGCTAAAGACGGAGGAGGTCCAGTATCAAGAACTTGTGGTCCTCCAGAAGCAACAAGTCCCCCGAGAACAACGTCGAGCCCAAGCTCACGCCCGCGCAGACGGACTTGTTGACGCCCACCAAACGGCACCCCATTGACCTCGAATCGGTGGACGTGGAGCTTACTGGGATGACGAAGGTGTTCGAGGAGGACAGCCAGAAGGAGAAGCAGGAGCAGTTGCAGATGCTGCCGCTGGACGAAGACTTGGCAGCAGCGACGACGAGAGGAAGCCAGCGCTCGGCTTCCCCATCATTGGAGTCGTTGTGGCACCCCACCGTGCAGTTCGGCATCATTGCGGCGGTGGTGCTGGACTTCGCAAACTGCAGCTTCTCCAACATCGGGAGTCCTAGAGCGTCGGGCGGCGGACGTGACAACACGTAACAACATGTAACAACATGCAGCGGGCAAGGGAGCTAAGACGCTTTAAATGAACAAGCAATGATCAACTACGGGGAAGAGGTCGTGCATTAGAGTGCTAAGCGAAGCGGGTGCAGTAAAAGCCAATCTGACAGTACAATACTCCGATCATGAGTGTCAAATATATTTGCAATGTGAAACATCAGCTATTTCAATGCTATACACTAGGGTCAACTACCCATCAACGTCACCGCCGTCTCCTCCTCCATTGTTGTTGTTTTCTTCTTCTTCTTCGTCGTCGTCTTCTTCTTCGGAACTGCTATCAATGTTGTCATCGTCCTCTTCATAATTTTCACTAACGAACAACGTATCGCGAATGATCTCAGGGTCCAACGAGCATCGCTTCGAGGTAACTACATTTCCTCTCTTGGAAAACGCACGCTCCGATGGCACAGAAGTTGCAATACATCCTAACTATTTCCGAGCTAGGGCCTCCACGATCGAGTACTTCCCTCGCCGCGTTGACCACCACTGTAGAGCATCAGTAGTCACTCGAGTTCCATGTGCATCGCCCAGGTACTGTCGAACCTGATAATCGCACTCATCTTTCAGCTTATCATCCGCCACGGTGGGCGCTTCCTCCACATACTGCTCCGTCCCTCCGCTGAACACTTCTGTAAGCCAAGCTACATTCTTTTTTGCAGCCGATGGCGGTCGCGAGGAATCCTTCGCCACCCTCGTGTCTTCTTCACTGGTGGATTGGGTGGCTCTCATATCATTTCCCATCTCAAACACAGCCGCTGTGAGGTGAGCAATAGCCATTTTAGTCTCTTCGTGGTTTAGATGCTTGAGCTCCGCCGATCTTGGATCCAGTGCTGAAATCCACAACAGCTCCATAGGTAGTTTCTTCTTGAACCTTTCCGTGAAAAGCGTGACGTACGTACGCCGAACGGACTGCATCAACGTCTTCACTCGCGGAACAAACGCTTCATTGCCGACCGAACGCGTGATCGCCTCGAATATTTCTTCGTCTTTGATCTTCCTTTCGATTGTGCGGAGAACGGGTACAGCCATAACCAGTGTGGGGTACTTCTCCCCACCTAAACCGTCGGTTGCTTCAGCGAATGGTTCAAGCAAGACAACTAAACATCGGATGACAAGACAATGTTCAGCTGTTGGTTGTTTAAATTTTGCGTCTGAAAACTCACGCGTCCTAGCGACGTGTCCAAAAAATCGTCAAGAGCAGTTCGAAGTTCCAGCATGCGCAGTAGCATGGCATGCGTGCTATTCCAACGCGTGGCACAATCGGTTTGAGGAACAAGCACTCTGGTTTGAAGCCCTCGTAAGCAATCCAATACTTTTACGGAACGGCTGAAAAACACGGCAAGCTTGCGAAATATTTCCACGACGCGACGTAGCTTATCCAAGTCAGCCCGAGTCGCTGCGCACGACTCCTCGATAAACGCCTCAATTTCCTCACAGGCAACTTGCTCAAGGGCAGCATCAATGTCTTCGTCGGATTTGGCAGCAGCCATCATCGCTTTTGAGGTCTTGTCCGATTTCTTCTTGACCATTTCACACCCAACGATGAGATGCAGAGAATGAACTAAGCACGACATGGAGTCGAGGTTCAACAGCTCGCATGCCTTCACTCCATTTGACGCACCGTCCCGAAGAAACTTCACGCACTTTTCAATAGGAAGCCCCCATTCATTCATAATTGCTCGCAACGATTCGGCAATCCGGTATCCATCGTGCTTCCCTGGCAAGTACCGTACCTCGAGCACCAGCTCCACATACGAAACTCCTCATCCAATTAATGGAGTGTGAAGCAGATGAGCCCAAGCTCACGTTTGGACGTCCAAATGTCGGCTGATGCTGCGTAAAAAATGCACTGGACAGCAATCTTCTCCTTGAGAACATCACGAAGCTGGGCAGCAACCACTTCAACTCCAGCACGTGCTTTCCAAGGCTTGATGATTTTGATGCGCTTTTGCAAAGTGTTGAGGTAGCGGGCATACTTGCGAAAGTACTTATCCATCGAAATGGTGAACGGTCTCATCGACTTAGTACAGCGACCGGTTTTCTGAGTGCCCCCACTTCTTGGTGCATCAGCGGCTGGATAAAGTTTGCTTGCGCGCTTTCTCCTCTTCGGCTGCTTTCTTGAGTTCTTTCGGGTGCTTCTTTTTCATGTGCCTGGTGACATAGGCGGTGTTGGACTTCTCGAAAACAATTTCTTCTCCGCACTTGTTGCAGTATGCACACCTAGCATGCTCCGATCGTAGGTCCTTGATATTCATCCCGATATACTCATTTTTGCAGACGAGCTGAATAAACCGCCAGTGCTCGGGCTTGCGCTTTTTGTGCATTTCGAACAGCAGTATTTCGGCACTTGTTGCCGGCGCCGAAGGAGCAGACAGGGTGCTTTCTTGTCCGCGCCGTACAGAGCTTGATGTCTTGCCGCGGTCTCTGCGTTGCGCCGTGCTTGGCGACTTCCCACTGCGAGCTCGTTGCGCGCTGTTGGGTGACTTGCCGCTACGCCCTCTCGGAGCTGCGTTCGGCGACTTGCCGGTTGGAGGGCACCCTCTTTGATCGCTGCTGGGCGACTGCAAACTGCGATTTAGCTGAGAAGTAAGGGGTGGCTTTCCATTGCGCCCTTGCTGCGCGCTATTCGGTGTCTTCGTGCGCTCTTGCTGGGTACCGCTTGGTGTACTTGTGCGGCGACTACGGGTGGCACTGTTAGAACGTGTAGCAATTCGCTTGTTGGAATCCGCCGGAGAGTATACGGCATCTTGAAAGTTGCTGCAGCTCTCGAGTCTCCGATCCGGCGCTTGCGTTGCTCGCAACTCTGGGTGGAGGCTTGCTGCTTGCGTGCCGAGCGCCTAGGAACAACGACCCCAAACACCAACGGGCTCCGCGAATCCCCGTGGACTTGATTTAGATTCTTAGAAGCACGATTCTGGTCTTGGACCGATGCTTGATCGTCCAAGTTACTATCGAACCCGATGGTCGCTTCCATGCCGTTGTAGCGGTCTTCTTCGTCTTGGTACGTAAGCCGGGCTCGAATTGGAGGGCTCCGCATGAATGAAGTACTGAATGTACGTCCCACGACAGCTTCCCGATGCCTGCCTTCGCTCTGAAGATAGTATGGCGGTGCTAAACCCACGGTAGGTCGCTCGTCTTCTAGCTGGTGGCTTGCTTCATGTGGTGCGCCACCAAGATCCCAAACGAATGATGCCGATGGTCGCCTCGGATCCATAGCAGCCCGACTTCCTTTCAAGATGTGCCGCTCTCAGGATTTCGCGCAATGGTGATCGCCATGCCCCCCACGGCTCAAACGTCGCGGTCAAATAACGGTATCTTTGCGATAGCTTTTAGCGATAACGTGAGGTTTTTAACAGTATTCTATAACGACACATCGTAACGTTGAAAGGCCTATACGTCGGCAATGAATGGCTCCCCCTTCGCGGAGACGCGCTAGGCCTTGGTGGCGGCATGTCCGCTGCTTCCGTCACCCGTATCGATCTTGTAGTCTTGGTTCAGCTAGGTACTCGGGTCACAACTCCTTTCCCCGGCAACTGCTGTCGTGGCCGCAACAAACCACGCAGTCTCAGCCAGCACGCCCTTGTTCTTCGGTCTTGTGTTGTTCCTGCGCATTATGCTGATCCCCTTGAGCACCTTCCCTTGACGATTGACGGCTGCAGCAGTCCCCCCCTCGCGAGCGCTCGCGCCTCGACGCCGAATCAGCTTCCTGGGCGATGCCGTAGTCATCAACCCACAGGAAGTCGGTGGCTGATCACTGAGCACGCTTGGTTCGTCCGCTACCGCCGCCGCGAGTCGTACCCGCATCGAGCTCTCAGCCCAGAGACACTAGCCTCACATCCTTGTCCGTCTAAGAACTGAGGGCGCCGCGGCGGAGCCGCATTAGCGCCCCCGAGAACGACGCCGCGGCGCCGCTCCCCGGGAGGGCGTCACCCCAACCCGTACCAGGATGTGCTATTTTATTGTGCTTTGCAATGATTCTGGCAATATGAGGCGAGATTTGCTGTATTTATAGCGACCACTTGCTAGATTTACGATAAATCGAGGTGCATATATGGGTGGAGGCCTAGAATTACGCTAAAAGCGCCACAATTGCACTTTTGAAAGTGCAATTGTGGCTGTGCAGCTGCAATTCTGTCGGTTTTTATCCACAAGCACCTACACACACGGCAATTATGCATAAGAGGGTGGATGTGCTGGTGATCCTGGACGGTGGTGTACTGGGCCAATGCATGGCTGCTGACAGGCCCTCCCAAGTCGATATATATGTGAGGAGGTGGGTTTATGCATAATTTTAGCAGGTCGTGTATCTTCTTTCACACATATTTAGGAGCAGGCTTTGCCATATTTAGCGTCTAAAATGGTCGGCAAAATAACTGCAAAGCACAATAATAGTAGGTACAGAATTCTGCCCGAATAAGGAACGGGTTTACAACTAATAGCCTCACATATTTAATATTATTTTCCAGTCAATGTGGCGATAGGGGGATGTGCAAGGTACTGCAAGGTACTGAGGTTCTAAGGTGAAAATTCCAGTGCCAATCATCAGCTCTCCACCCTCGTTTGAACAATGGCGCGTATTTAGCGATCTTACTAGACTTCAAACTACATGTACCGTAGTGGTAGACTCGCACTTTTGCTTTTGCACCTCGCCCCACAAGCCCACCTCCTCCCCCACTCCACCCATGAAGTCCACACCGTCCAAGCGTCTCCGCCTCACTTGGTCTGAGAAAGTGGGCATCCTCGACAAGGCGGCCCGCACACCTGCTCTCTCCTACAGGGGCCTGGCTGAGTGGGCTGCGACGGAGTTCAGCCTCCCGGCCGCCCCAGGCAAGACAACGATATGCCGCATAATTAAGTCAAGTGCAGTCCTGCTGGGGCGGCCGCTGGAGAAGGACCAAGGAATCATTCATTGTATTAAGCGACACATTCTATCCCGCAAGATGATGCAGGCTCTAGACCGGCTTGGTGAAGGGCTAGATAATCCCTACGAGGTCGACCAGTTGACAGCGCTGTTGTGGTGCGAGGATGCCTGGTCAAAGGTTAGTGCTTCGACCATACGCCACTGTTGGAATCATTCCGGACGCGTAGGTAAAGCTGCTCTTCCGTTCATTTTTAAATAACTAAATCAGTACATTGGAAAGTATACTCAACTTAACATCAATTTATTCTGCGTCTTTATATATATCAGGCGTTCCTTACTCGGGCAGATTACTGAATTAAAAAACGACGTTGCATGCTGCTGATTGCGATCGCCAGCCAATCGAATGGCGGCAGCGCATCAGTAGCCGGTCCAAAAGCGGGCTGACTCTCGGGCCGTTGGCTTCATGTTGAAGTGAAGTGAGTCAAGTGAGACTGTGGGGGACGAATGCAATGCTCTCTGTTGACAGTGCCCTGTTACTCGCCAAAGATGACGCTCATGAGGCCCGTGGCCTGGAAAACGATGCCCACGACGAAGGAGAAGGAGGCCGAGATGAAGCCGACCCGCAGGTCCATCACGAGTGAACTGCCCCCGAGTCGACCGGTCACTTCCCCGTACAGCGCGGCAAAGCCTCCCATTGTGATGATGGAGGCGATGCAGAAGGACCCGAGGTAGGCGGTCGACTTGAGCCAGT